TTAACCGAAAAATAATCAACTGCATACGAGCTCTTTATCTATGAAAAACATTACTGTCCCGTTTTACCCTACTTTCGCCTATATGACATTTATGTAAAATACTTTGTTTGGTCTATTTACTATGTTTTAAATGTGTAAAAATTATATGAATAACACGCCACATGTTACAATTGCAAGAAAAGCACAATAAAGGTATTTCAAATTTCACTGTGGTCGCGAACACGTTAAATGAAGAACTTGGTTTATCAAAAGAATTATGGTGCAAATCAGGCGTCGACAACCTATAACCCGTGAGTCGCCAAGTGACCCATTTGATAATTTCAAGTGACCCACTGAGTTTCGTAAATAAAGTATAATATGTAAACATAAATTATAAAACATAAACATAAAGTGAACACTTCGAGGAAATATATATATAAGTAATAAGATTAACATTTTGGTCAGATTACAAAGTTGCAGTAACGAACATAGGCGGAATACAGTGACATTGGTGTCAAAAAGCCAACATGAGAAAGGAAATATAGATAAAAGCAATTTAAATATGTTCGAAAATTGGATTTTAAACATTAAAAATAAATTTTAAAGTAGATTTGAAAGTTTTAAGAAGCACGGTAGCATTTTGAATATCTTAAAATTGACAATTTAGGTTTAAAAACTATTAATTTTATAAGTTCAACGTTGTCGACGAATAAATTAAAAACATTCCGGAAAAATTTAGAAAAAACGGGAGATAATCATCTTATCGTGATATCAACGTGTTGGGCAATACTTCCTACAAAGTTTTTATCTTCGAAACAAATTGACTTTGCCACTTTGTCTCCGTTCGGTTCTACTTATAAATGGGAACAAATATTTTCGCACATGAAATTTATTTTACATAAGAACAGAAGCAATTTAACTACCGAATTCTTTCAGACGCTTGCATTTGCTTAAGGTGATTCGGTATAAACCAGACTTGACTAAATTGACGTCACGTAACGAAATAAACGTTTGTAAATAAAGTCATAAATTAATGAACTAAAACTTGACAATTATATTTGTTTTCATAATGATTAGAATTAGAATTCTGAATTTTTATATTTAAAGTTTAAAAGGATATCGTAATTATTTTCTCAATCAAATTTATCTTATTATTTATTAAAAGCCTGTTTTAAAATGAAAATACCGCCGACTCGAAGCATCTTCTTAATAGTCACATTTTGGTTGATTTTGACCCGCAATAAAAAAAAGTTGTCGGCGCCTGGTGCAAAATAATCAACTTTTATAATAACAATGAACTTCATTCGCACAAAACAAAACATTACAATGCATTTTTTCTAAAAATGAAAGGAACGCAACAATAAACTGTCTTTCTCTTTACCATTTTCTCGTCATAGGTTCGCACAGAACACAATTTTTTCACGATCTGCCTTTAGTTTTTTCTTTTTTATAGTGGTCAACTACTAAGCCAATTAACATAATTTGTACGCAAAAGAAGATTGTGCTTGCATGCATCTGCATATTACCGATCGCACATTCATTTTCATGCACACCTAAAACATACAACAAACATTCTGCCCCTTAAAGACGCATTCATACATACAGTGGAGCCCCGAGTTACGTCCTCCCGATGTACATCATTTCACAATTACGTCGTCTCTTTATAATGCGGCAGTCAATTATTTTTAATCAAATTTCTTGCTGTGTGTGTTTAGTTCGAACTGAATCAGTCTGAAACTTACTTGAGTAAGGAATTTTTATGGACAAATAATTTCAGATTACATAGTTTATCGGTTTAAGAACTTATAGAAGTATATTTACAGTAAACATAAGTACACAAATGTAATTAATCGAGAGTTAAGACCATTATTTATGTATGTGTAATTGCACCACAGCGTCAGATTTTCTCAGGTTTAAATTATACTGTGAAAAGACGAAATACTATAAGTTTAGAAACTAAATTAGAAATAATAAAATTTTTTGATAATGAAATACAAGGTTTTAAGATTAACTGAAAAATAAGTTTCCCAAAAACAACTGTGAGGATGGTTCTTAAAGATGAAGAACGTATTTTAATGGCAATAAAAGAAGGCCATTCAGTATATTCCAGTGTTATCTGTGAACATTGTGATTTCTTCGGTTCTTCGTAAACATTTCTTAAATGTAATCTCTTCTATCATTTTTATACATTTAAAAGAAAATGTATTTCCTAATCTGATAAATACATGTACAAACATGTATGCTCGCATACATGCATACATGTCCACCCTCTGTATCCTGCTTTACGTCCTTTCCGACTTATGCCACTCACTCCGAAACCACTTAGAACGTAGGTCCGGGGCCTCACTTACTCCAAACTAGTCCCTTACATGCTTCTGACCCCACACTCATTCTCACGCACACCTAAATAAGATACATACCTACATATGTATGTACATACTCCAAAAATATGTACATACGTACACACACAGCTTAAGTATCCTGTTACAATGGTTACACAAGAATCAGTCTGTATTTCGGAAACAAAGTCATGTAGAATACATGTATATGTTTACATGAACTTTTTGTTTCTTTAGTATGTTGAATTATTCAGAAATAGCCTTCATATCATCGGAAATGTACATCTGTAGGAGTCACCTCTTATTCTAACCAATTCGATCCGCAATTCTCTCGTTCAAGTTCTTTGTATCTTTGCATAGTATATTCTTGATGTAATTACAAATTGAAGAATCTTTTACTGTTTTGAAAATTAAAAGAAAATTACTCGAGTGAGGTGAAAAAGATCAATAATAGTCAGTAAACTTACGACGTTAATTTTGCAAATTTCATTCTAAAACAAGGCTCATTCTTTTAAATAAAGTAAGATTAATTGCAAAAAGTACAACTGCACTCGTTTTTTAAATACAACTATACAATTTCTTGTATGAATCGGTTATTCATGCCATTTTGACTAAAAAAAGTATAATATAAAGATACAATCATGAGAAACTCAGTACCTATTTTTTAAAAAACTCTACGACAAAGTCAAAGGGGATTTACTATTGTAAGTCAGATGAGAAAATGCTTACAAAGCCATGATAGAACATTTGAACATTCAGTACGAGCATTAAAGTAAAAAATAAATATTGCGAAAGGTGTTGGGTTTTTAACGATTAAAATGTCAGTATTATGCAAATACTTTGTTATATTAGAATGACTATCCCGCTATCTTATTTACTAACAACGTGTGCTTTCAGTGAATTTTCAAAATAAAATATCTCGAAAATCATTGAAAGAAGTATAAAATTCCATTTAAAAAAAGGGCAATAGCACCTTGTAACTGCATCAGTGCATATATGAAAAGCTGGTATTATATTGTAGTATAATAGACCCTGTCAAGTAATGTAAAGTTTTTCTGTACAATCTTTTTTATAACTTTACTAGGAACAGAGTTATAGCTTGCCCCAGTTACTAGATACATCATGTATAAAGTTCAATGCATACTACCTAAGTAGTAAAAATTTTTCACAATTTTCTGGGAAACAGAAATAGATCACCGTTTTTGTCAGAGCAAAAAGTTATTCATAACATCGATTTCTACATTTGTTAATTCTATAAAAATCGGTTTCACCATTAGGATTCTGTACTATTAAAAGAACCATATGTTTAACACTTAAATGCTTAATTTAATACCTTCTATATTTTATCCATAGAAACACCATCGAAAAAGTTGACATGAATTACAATTATATAAAATTTGAAATATATGGCGTCTAATATAGACTTAAAAGATACTAGCAATTTTCGAATAACCCTACAATATTGTTAACAGAGAATGTTTTATATCATTGCATGTGTGCCTTTAAATGACGCAATCTTTCCCTTTATGGTTTTCTTCTATTCTCAACCCTATAAGAAATATTTAGTTGTTCTTGACATTGACCTTGTCTATAGTCTGTGTATGCTTTTTATATACTTCTGACAGTTATGTTAACGTTGCATTTTGACCGACCCTGATAGCGAGTCATTGCTAGTTTGTTGTACCTCGCAGTGGGCAAGTTTTCGAAAGAAGAAACATAGCAATGAGCGAGAAGCTCAGAACGAAAGCGGAAAAGCCTTTATATGCAACTGGCGTGTGACATAGTTCCTCTTATTTTGTCTGGACCAATTATACGAGTGATTGTTTTACATTACACCTCGTCGCTTGTAAATACCTGTCTCCCTTCGTCACCGGTTATACGACACGAATTATACAAGATGCATGCTGCAGCAATTTCGACGATTTTTTGTGGTCTTGTAACAGTCGGACAAGAAAATGTTCCAAAAAGGATTAATCTGTTTTTAGAAGGTTTCCTAATGCGAAGAACAATGTTTTCGGGCATTTTGTATGTCATAGTATACAGTCCACTAAAAACAGATTAACTTTTGTTCAAAGTATGTTCTTGCCACACCATTAAAAGTCCATGAAAACATCGTGACGATAATTATAGCATACATCCTAAATAATACATGTGAGTGACATTTTCTTCCCTGCACGATTCTCGTTCTTTCTCTGCCCTATTTTTAAAGAATAACAACCTTCTTGAATCACGTAAAGTTAACGCTGAAATACCTGGTAATTCCGAGGTATGAAATACGTCAATTACCGGATGTTTTGTGGAATCATTTAATGGAAATTAATTCTGTTTCAACATGCTGAAAACAAATCGATTTAAAAAAGTATACACAATATTATGATTATTGCATTAAAAATATTTGATTTCATGGTTCGTAAATTATAAAATCAAATTTTTGTGATACATACGGAAATATAAATTAATTAAATCAATAATTCTTCAAAATTGCGGTAACGGGTAGTCGGATATTAACCGCGATAAGCAAAACACGCAGTAACCTGTAATCGGGTGTTGAAGTGTTAACGAGACGATACTGTAGAGAAGTTACATGCATGTCACTTGTGAATATTTGAGCGTTAAAAATAAGTCCAATGGTATAAAGGATAATCCAGAATGTATTTATTGTGATAAAAATTGTCTATGTAGGTCTACACAATTCTAATCCATCTTCCTACAAAAGACACCAGCGACAAAGGAAAGTACATAGAGAAGCCAAGCATAAAAATGTATCATAGCGAGAGCCCAACGTCAATAACCAGGAGGTCGTCGCAAATGCCTGATATAAGAATTCCCTTAAGTATGAAGAACATTCCCAAACCGGTAGCAACTAAGAGCGCTACGAACAAATCAGGGGACACGAAAAAGAAGAACATTCAAGACAAGAAAGGAGAACGCAAGGCCGCAAAGACTTTATCGGCCATTTTGTTGGCATTCATCATCACATGGACACCATACAATATTCTCGTTCTGATTAAATCCATCACAGCCTGTTCGTGGTATATACCGCAACAACTGTGGGACTTTTTCTATTATCTTTGTTACATTAATAGTACTGTGAATCCAATGTGTTATGCCCTATGCAACGCGGCTTTCCGAAGAACCTATGTGCGAATACTCAAGTGTAAGTGGCATAACAGGAACAGAACCGGGGTATTTTCGCAACTCAATCCGAAGAATAACTCAATTTAAAGAAATTGACGAAACGCGTTTTATGCGTGACATTTACATTTTATATATTATCGTTAGTAGAAGAATTATCCTTTCAATTTGAAACTGGTTTTCGACTTTGTTTCAAGTAAAATGACTAATAATAAGTGTATCGTTGTATTTGACCAAGAATTTTTCTCGAATAATAGTAATAAGCATTATTTATTTTTACGTCGTTGTACGAAGAATACAAAGCGACTGGCGAGAAGTATTGTACTTAATAGAGACGAAGGAATTTTTAATCTAAATCGCTGGAAATCGAAAGAGATTTTGAAATATTTGTAGTTAGAACAACTCGGATTTCCACATTTGAGGCAATGCAACGTGAATACTGCCATGAAAATAATCTTTATAAATATAATTCTGAATTGTACAAAGAAAAGACAGAAAGGGGAAGATATTAGGTACATTAGTAACAGTGCCAAACGTATAACTCGCGTTTGATGGTGATCGAACGACTCTGCGCGGTCGCAACGACCAGTGAAGCCAGAAAAAGTCTTTTCTCCCACTCCGCCTTACCCTTTCCACTACGCCATTCCTCATTAGCGGACATCTCCTAATAACCCCCGCAGCCACCGCAGAACCCGGCAGTAACACCAAGGAGAGGGTAACTGTATTCCCCCCAATTTCCCCGATCTGGCCACACTGGTAACGACACCACACGACGAGCGCCTTTCCCCAGTTCGCGGGATAAAGTCAGCTTCCGCAAACGATATTGTCGCGATCTGATACCAAACTTATTCTAAATCAAAACAAGAGGAAAAGAAAACAATCAATCGATACTTTAGCCGACCTGTTCATTTTAACTCTTTTAACAGTACTACGCACAAATAATTTTTAACTTCCACTTGAGTTAAGTTAATTTTAAGAATGGAATAAAAGAGTCCACCTACAAGCTTTTAATCAGTGCTGTCCACGAACTGGGACTCTTCATTCGTTACTCACTAGACCTTTTCTGTAAGGAGCGTATTCAGCTTGATTGGACCAATTTAATTCAAACCCGCCCAATTTTACTGGTAAAACTCACTTGTCAGTCAGTTGCTTTGACACCGACTGTCGTCTGCTTTTAAAAGTCCGTACGTGTATAACATAATATTACATGACAGAACTTCGTCGCGTTGAGAATATTTATTGGGTGCCATAATAAGTATTGACACCGTCGTATAATTACGCGACGAAGTTATGTTACACACGTGTGAGCCCTAAGTATTTGACAGAGCGTTGGTAGTTTCCAAGTAACAATGGGAGAATGTTCGATGTTGGTCAAGTTTAAGTAGGTATCCAGTTATCCACAATACTTCTAAGAGATTTACATATTTGGATAACGTGTTATTGGCTTTGGGTAAAAACAAATCGGATGAGTCGTGACAGATTAAGGGTCGGAAAAAGTTTGGACAATTCCTTTCGTAGGAGAACTTTAGTCCTTTGCAAGCTTTTAGACTGTTTACGAATCACTGCAAAATTAAACATAGCAACGTTAGTAAAGAACAAACAGCTGAAGAATATTTGGATGTAACACGAACAGCAGCCTGTTTTATTCTTCAGTACAACTTGGACAGCACTGTCTTAAACGATTGCATTTTCTATTTTGGAATTGCTCGAAGGATGAAACTGCTGATTCAAAAAGTTAGAATTACAAGTTAAGAAATAAAATAATTCAATGTTACCTGAACTTTGATATTGTTATTGTATTTTTCAAGGTGAATTGATTCTTATTTCTTGTAATTTATAGAAATAATATTTAAAAAACTGACTCTGTTCCGTGAACTTTCTACAAAGCTATACCGCACAAAATAAAATCTATTCAAAGTCTAAGGGAAATATTAATGACAGACATTTTTTGCGCGTGTTATTCAAAGAGTAACGCACTTGATGTACATTTTAAATAGTAGTACAGTTGTAAATGAGTGTTTTACGTGTACTTAATGATGGTGAACCAAATAAGCACTATTATAAATAGAAGATGTTACAATATAATGGCAACAAAGTGAGTGAAAAGCGCTGCATCAATTCTATCATATTAAAAAATATTCTAATCACACGTGCCAAATAATGCTTTAAGGTGTCACTGAATTAGGAAAGTAACGTAATAAGTGTGTCCTTTCAAATGTTCGCTCATCACATTAGATTAAATAGGTTAATCTGTTAATAAGCAGGGTTTAAAGACAATTTGAGAACTAACAGCATGACTGCCTAAATTAAACAAACACGTATCAATTTATAATTACTTGCTTTATATGGATTTTAATATTCTCGTATTATATTGTTATCTCTAACAATATTTTGTTCTTCCTAATAAAAGTTGTGCAAAAAAATCAAATTCATAAATTTGTTATACTTTACATTACAGTTTGTTAATATGCTCTTCGTCTTCAACTCTAAGATTCAGTAATCTTCTATGACTGTATTGATTTCAATTGTCCTCACCGGAATATAAATAAAAAATATATCACTCAATTTGAAATACAAACTGAAATACCCTTAAAATTCCTATATGAAGATGAACAATGGCGCCACTTAGTGCCTGTCTTGAAACTAAATAGTTTTTCTTTTACCTGAAAGTCTTTCTTATTCTTCAAGAAATTAATAAAAAATTTGTATTCCCTATTTGCTTTTTATACATTATATTTGTTTTTATACATGACCTCCAAATATATAATTTAATAGAGTTATCCACTATTTTTTTAACAAAGTTGTGACATAATGAAGTGTACCTACTGCACTTAATCTTGCCTTTTATCCTATGTTTGAGTTATCTCTTTTTTTATTTTTATAATTATTCAGTTGTGGTGTTTTTGTTTCGCATTTTATTTCCAATTTATATTACTAGATGCCTTACTGCATAAGTATTAGCAATGTCATTACTACTCTAGTACAGTTCAAATTTGCTATACTTTTTTGACTTTCTTTTCTTTTGGCATTCTTGAAAAGAAATATAGAACTTTACAATAAATTGCGCATTTTATAATAATTTACCAATGTTTTTCTGTAAATCCATTTTTTCTGACATATTCATTTTGAATGAATTGTCTTTGAAACTTTTGAAAGTACACATTTATTAACAAAAGTACGGTTCATTTCTAAGCAGTTGTAACAATTGTAAAGCATGTTTTAATTCTAATCCTGCTGGAGAAATATTATTCTATCACGGTAAAATTTCATATTCAGTACATTTTTAACATTTACTTTATTTACCCTGTACTATTATGTGCAATGTGTATATTTGTAAATATTGGCGTGAAATGTTCAGTGTAAAAAGTGTCATTCATTCTTCTTGGAAGAATGTCAGGTTACATTTAACAAGTGAAAAAAAGAAAAAAAATGTATGAAAGTTGGCTACAAACATTTTATTACAGCGGTATAAACAAATATTGAACACAACATAAAATAGGTAAGTATGAATCATTTGAATGGCAGTGACTGCTCCATGTTCGTATGTGCAAACAGAAATTAGAATACTTGAGTTTGAATATTTATGACTCCTTATTCCTGTTTATACATACAGTAAAACTCCCTGTATCTGGACATTCATTATCAGAGTACCCTAATATTCATATGTTCAACTATTTGGGCATTTTATCATTTCTAGTTTTCTAACAACAAATGGTTTGTTCAAACATATTCTGATCACAATGATTCAGAGTAAATCTTTGTACAACTATATACATAAGTTTAAATATGAATTTCATACAATTTAGCATCCCAACAGATATGGAATTTAAAAATTTTGGAATCTTCACAATCTCTATTCAAGTAAATGAAATTTAGTTCCAGAAACATGAAGTTCTATTATGATTTATTGTTGATAAACAGGTAAATATTACGCGTTGATAGGAAGAAGACATGTAAAAGACCTGCAACTTCAATTGGTCAGAGTGGAAGGAGGCACGTCTCTTCTTACGTGCATTGTTGGCACGAATATGCTACTTATTGTTAATTTTCATCAACGCATAGTACATATGTGCGATACGTAAAATCAAATATCAAAAAAGTGATAAATGGTAACGATAAATATACTTTCTCATGAAATTTTTAAGATAATTTTTTAATCGTAAAAGTTGACAAAATTCCTTGTCATATGATTTCTTACGATGTGATACCGTATAAAATAATTTCCGGGATGAAACCCAAAATAAATGCTCACGCCCGAAATAATACTCTTTACTGGCATTCCGAGATGTCGGAATAAATTTGTATGCCGGCAGTAACGGCATTCCGACGGCAAGGAGTTAAATTCTATGAAATACAGAAGAATATGCAGTCTAACACCCATCACGTTCATTTAAAACTAAGTATTTATTTTTAATATATTTTGCTTTTTTTTTGTTTGAATCAATAGAATAATTGTTACCGACAATAACTAAATAACTATGAATATTAAATGAATAGTTCTCTAATTGTATCGGTCGTGGATGACCGACATTGAAAAATTCTTCTCCGTCACCTTTTCGTTTACCGAAGTCGATTAAACTCATTCGAATCGTGAAATTATTAAGTATTATATCGTTTTTCCATAGATCGTTCAAATAAAATTGTGACCTGATCTTTTCATGATAGTTTTATAGGCTTATATTACTTATTACTCTCCGATAGGAGTCATAAATGCTCGTTTTAGTAATTTTAAACATTTTTCTTAAACTTTCATTGTTACAACGTCTATTCTTTAAAGTAGCTATATCAATCAAATACCTATATTACCTATATTTATTGTGTCTTCAATATCGAATTTGCGAGTTTTAGTTGTTGCTGCTTTTTTACCTTGCAGTTTTATAGCTGTTTCGAAACACTATATGAATAGTAAAAAAAATGCTTACAACCAACTTTCGAATACCATATTTACTCTTCTTTCACTTGTGAAATACACCTCCGAAATTCATCGGAGAAAATCAGAATCACTCTGATTGTGAGTATATACGGCATTACATAGTATGTTGAATTCATATAAGCAATAAACAAAGTAAAACACAAAAATAATGTTAGACGTTCATAAAAAGGACGCGGAATACTTGATCTTGTTCCTAAATTATAACTGTTTTGTACCTGTGTAATAGTTGTTTACATAGTTTCTTAAACTTTCAAAAATTCTTTTACTTAAAAATAATAGTTCTTACGTAATATCCCCGAACACATCAACAATATTAATCATTTTTCATAAAGTAAAATAAAACTACGTAAATTACACAAGATCGCCGTGCAGCACTAAAGTGTTTACTAATTAAGAT